AGTTTGTAAGTTGTAGACATCATTAAGAAGAAATTAACAGTCCCATGCTGAGACCTTTCTCTAAATTCAGGCCGGTGGCAGGCTGCCAACAAAGAGAAGAAAATATCGCAACCCCGACACAAGTGTGCTCAGTCAAACAATGAACTTACGACCGGCAGAAAAAAACTCCAGTTGAGTATGCCGATGCTGTATCTCAACCGTGTTGGCTTGGAAACTTTGAAGATGTATGTAGACCGTAATCATTACAATGTTAATTAAATTCATAATCATATTCATATTATTATTTTTAATAGAAACCGTATCTTAATTTGTTCTTGCACTGTATCTTATCGTGTATTTCATCTGTATATGTGTAATGTGTATATGTATAAATGCTTGCACTTATACCGCATATTTTGCAACAGACTATAATTTAATTTTTATTATTGTTTCTCCATTTACCATGGCTGACTGCACTTTTGCCATTTTAACAGTGGACACCGATTACAGTATACATGAGGGCTTTTGTTCAAAAAGGAATATGAAGGAAATTATAGGTAACAATTCACTGTGTACTGATTACGTGTTTGAATGTTATTAGTTTAGCGTTCTGATATACAGTTATGTAGGTATCTTCTACAATTACCAATACATGTATATAATAAATTACACAAAAAACCTCTCTGCCGGAATGTTTAGTGGAAATCATTCGATCAAGTAAAATGACTGCGAGACCAGACGAGTCAACTATTTATACCCTATAAAAGAAACTGCCTTATTTTAGCAACAGTGCTATTACATGACATTTGAATTTTCTCACTAGCAGATACATCAGAGAAAGTGACTATATGTACGGAATCCGTATCAATCAAGGTGTCAAAAAACTGAAAATCATATCTGTGGGTGACCCACCAAATTACCAAGTTTTATTAATTAATATATTTATGACAATGCAAATGCTGGGAGACACAGAGGATTCTCGTGGTAGTCATGGGGTATCGGGAGACACAGGGGATTCTGGTGCTAGTCAGGGTGTTGGGGAGACTAGGGGGTGTCTGCAGTTGGTCAGGGGGTACGTGAATACACATGGTGTCTGGTGCTGGTCAGTAGGTACTGGGATACACAGAGGATTCTCGTTCTAGTAAGGGGGTACGGGGAGACACAGGATGTCTGGTGCTAGTCAGGGATTTAGGGGAGGCACAGGGGTGTCTGGTGCTAGTCAGGGGGTGCGAGGAGACACAGGGTGTCTGGTGCTAGTCAGGAGGTGCGGGGAGACATAGAGAAATCAGGTGGTAGTCAGGAGGTACGGGGAGACACAGGGTGTCTGGAGCTAGTCAGGAGGTACGGGGAGACACAGGGTGTCTGGTGCTAGTCAGGAGGTGCGGGGAGACATAGAGAAATCATGTGGTAGTCAGGAGGTACGGGGAGACACAGGGAGTCTGGTGCTATTGAGTGAGGTACGGGGAGAGACAGGGTGTCTGGTGCCAGTCAGGAGGTGCGGGGAGACACAGGGTGTCTGGTGCTAATCAGGAGGTGCGGGGAGACATAGAGAAATCAGGTGGTAGTCAGGAGGTACGGGGAGACACAGGGTGTCTGGTGCCAGTCAGGGGTATGGGGAGACACAGGGTGTCTGGTGCTTATCAGGAGGTGCGGGGAGACATAGAGAAATCAGGTGGTAGTCAGGAGGTACGGGGAGACACAGGGTGTCTGATGCCAGTCAGGGGTACGGGGAGACACAGGGTGTCTGGTGCCAGTCAGGAGGTACGGGGAGACACAGGGTGTCTGGTGCTAATCAGGAGGTACGGGGAGACACAGGGTGTCTGGTGCTATTGAGTGAGGTACGGGGAGATAGAGGGTGTCTGATGCCACTCAGGAGGTACGGGGAGACACAGGGTGTCTGGTGCTATTGAGTGAGGTACGGGGAGATAGAGGGTGTCTGATGCCACTCAGGAGGTACGGGGAGACACAGGGTGTCTGGTGCCACTCAGGAGGTGCGGGGAGACACAGGGTGTCTGGTGCTAATCAGGAGGGGCGGGGAGACATAGAGAAATCAGGTGGTAGTCAGGAGGTACGGGGAGACTCAGGGTGTCTGGTGCTATTGAGTGAGGTACGGGGAGATAGAGGGTGTCTGATGCCACTCAGGAGGTACGGGGAGACACAGGGTGTCTGGTGCCACTCAGGAGGCGCGGGGAGACACAGGGTGTCTGGTGCTAATCAGGAGGTGCGGGGAGACATAGAGAAATCAGGTGGTAGTCAGGAGGTACGGGGAGACACAGGGTGTCTGGTGCTAATCAGGAGGTGCGGGGAGACATAGAGAAATCAGGTGGTAGTCAGGAGGTACGGGGAGACACAGGGTGTCTGGTGCCAGTCAGGGGTACGGGGAGACACAGGGTGTCTGGTGCCAGTCAGGAGGTACGGGGAGACACAGGGTGTCTGGTGCTAATCAGGAGGTACGGGGAGACACAGGGTGTCTGGTGCCAGTCAGGAGGTACGGGGAGACACAGGGTGTCTGGTGCTATTGAGTGAGGTACGGGGAGACACAGGGTGTCTGGTGCCAGTCAGGAGGTGCGGGGAGACACAGGGTGTCTGGTGCTAATCAGGAGGGGCGGGGAGACATAGAGAAATCAGGTGGTAGTCAGGAGGTACGGGGAGACACAGGGTGTCTGGTGCCAGTCAGGGGTATGGGGAGACACAGGGTTTCTGGTGCTAGTCAGGAGGTGCGGGGAGACATAGAGAAATCAGGTGGTAGTCAGGAGGTACGGGGAGACTCAGGGTGTCTGGTGCTATTGAGTGAGGTACGGGGAGATAGAGGGTGTCTGATGCCACTCAGGAGGTACGGGGAGACACAGGGTGTCTGGTGCCACTCAGGAGGTGCGGGGAGACACAGGGTGTCTGGTGCTAATCAGGAGGGGCGGGGAGACATAGAGAAATCAGGTGGTAGTCAGGAGGTACGGGGAGACACAGGGTGTCTGGTGCTAATCAGGAGGTGCGGGGAGACATAGAGAAATCAGGTGGTAGTCAGGAGGTACGGGGAGACACAGGGTGTCTGGTGCCAGTCAGGGGTACGGGGAGACACAGGGTGTCTGGTGCCAGTCAGGAGGTACGGGGAGACACAGGGTGTCTGGTGCTAATCAGGAGGTACGGGGAGACACAGGGTGTCTGGTGCCAGTCAGGAGGTACGGGGAGACACAGGGTGTCTGATGCTATTGAGTGAGGTACGGGGAGACACAGGGTGTCTGGTGCCAGTCAGGAGGTGCGGGGAGACACAGGGTGTCTGGTGCTAATCAGGAGGGGCGGGGAGACATAGAGAAATCAGGTGGTAGTCAGGAGGTACGGGGAGACACAGGGTGTCTGGTGCCAGTCAGGGGTATGGGGAGACACAGGGTTTCTGGTGCTAGTCAGGAGGTGCGGGGAGACATAGAGAAATCAGGTGGTAGTCAGGAGGTACGGGGAGACTCAGGGTGTCTGGTGCTATTGAGTGAGGTACGGGGAGATAGAGGGTGTCTGATGCCACTCAGGAGGTACGGGGAGACACAGGGTGTCTGGTGCCACTCAGGAGGTGCGGGGAGACACAGGGTGTCTGGTGCTAATCAGGAGGGGCGGGGAGTCATAGAGAAATCAGGTGGTAGTCAGGAGGTACGGGGAGACACAGGGTGTCTGGTGCCAGTCAGGAGGTACGGGGAGACACAGGGTGTCTGGTGCCAGTCAGGAGGTACGGGGAGACACAGGGTGTCTGGTGCTAGTGAGTGAGGTACGGGGAGAGATAGGGTGTCTGGTGCTATTGAGTGAGGTACGGGGAGACACAGGGTGTCTGGTGCCAGTCAGGAGGTGCGGGGAGACACAGGGTGTCTGGTGCTAATCAGGAGGGGCGGGGAGACATAGAGAAATCAGGTGGTAGTCAGGAGGTACGGGGAGACACAGGGTGTCTGGTGCCAGTCAGGGGTATGGGGAGACACAGGGTTTCTGGTGCTAGTCAGGAGGTGCGGGGAGACATAGAGAAATCAGGTGGTAGTCAGGAGGTACGGGGAGACTCAGGGTGTCTGGTGCTATTGAGTGAGGTACGGGGAGATAGAGGATGTCTGATGCCACTCAGGAGGTACGGGGAGACACAGGGTGTCTGGTGCCACTCAGGAGGTGCGGGGAGACACAGGGTGTCTGGTGCTAATCAGGAGGGGCGGGGAGTCATAGAGAAATCAGGTGGTAGTCAGGAGGTACGGGGAGACACAGGGTGTCTGGTGCCAGTCAGGAGGTACGGGGAGACACAGGGTGTCTGGTGCCAGTCAGGAGGTACGGGGAGACACAGGGTGTCTGGTGCTAGTGAGTGAGGTACGGGGAGAGATAGGGTGTCTGGTGCCAGTCAGGAGGTGCGGGGAGACACAGAGAAATCAGGTGGTAGTCAGGGGGTGCGGGAGACACAGGGTGTCTGGTGGTAGTCAGGGTGTACAGGGAGACTCAGGGTGTCTGGTGCTAGTCATGAGGTACGAGGTAGGTGCTACGTTGATCGTAAGCCTATGATAAAGTATTGGAGTTACGGCCAACTTAGCACTGAGATCGCTCTGTGTAACGGGTTCCTGGACGGCGTGGATCATTGCTCATGTCGTTAATCAATGTATTAGCTGGATTTACTTAAGGTGTTGCTCTGATATTAATCATTTCTTTGAGAAACAACAGTTACCCCTTCCAAGTACTGAATACATATTAAATAACGATAAGACATAAAATATAATGTTTTTGTGTGATATAACATAAACCATTCGTTTAACGAAATGTTTCAAATGTATTTCGTGGATCTTTTCTAAACTATTTCCTTAAACCTAACTGATACTTTGGTTTCAAATAAAAGGAATCTACAGTAATATAAACTTAATAATCAATATATTTACAAATAACTGCAGCAATTATCCTGATATTAACATGATCAAGAATATTTTTATGAGGGTGCTGAAGACCTATATGTGAAATTTCCAAATATTTTCAAGATGTAAATTGAAAGAACGCGATACAAAGACAGAACACCAGTTTATCTGAAGAAATACAACCCTCGTGTTACAATACAGTCAATTGAGTATATATCCACATGACAAAACAATTCCTTCACTTTCTAAAGCACAACAATGACATCATGTTGTGTACCATTTCCTTCACTATGGCAGTGTTTGGGTGGATATTCTGAGATGGCTTTGCCATAGTCAGGTCCCAAAAATCTAAATAGACAATTTTGTCTTGCAATGAAGCAAATTCTTCATGCCAAATATCAGTGTACAGATTACCCCAGTAAGATAACACACCACGCATCGGTGTGAAAAATGCATGTGGCCCACGAACTGCAATAGTAACATTAGGAGCGCGTGCCAAGAGGTTCCTGACAGACGGAACAAGTCTTTGAACATGTCGCCTAAACACATCCGGATGGACAAACACGAAATGAGCATACATATTTAACACTACAATGTCCTTGGTGGTGTTCGGGAGGCGGTCCACCATAATGTACTGTGCCTGGTTTACTGACTTTTTAAAGTGTCGTGGTCCATGATAGAACGGTAGTTCGTGAGCATGATATGAAATTGAAAATTTATGTATCAAATCTGTGTCAGTAACAGGTACATGACGATCTGAATGGGAAGGAAAGCGTAAAATTGAATGAAGAACTTCTTTAAACTGTCTACTTGTTGAATCCCCATGAAGCCACAGCCTTCTTCCTTTCAAGCACTGTCTGTAAGCATCAATGGTGCGAGGCAGTGTGTCAGTACACAGAAGCGAATGCCACTTGTTCTGGTGAAAGTAACCATTCGGGGACGTTCGTCGCCATGTCATTTCCGCTGGAAGCGCACTGCAGGAAGTTGAAGGAGCTGATAGTTTTACACCCTTAGGACCTGTGAAAAGAAATGGGTTAAGGATGAAGAAATCAATGTTGGAGACGTACATATTCATGCTTCTAGTGTTGGTAATGAAAAGGCTATATCTACCCCGAAGTGATGCGGAAATTATTATTATTATTTTTTTTAAAAGCAACAACTTTTTTTATTATTCCCAGAGTTGTGGATTAATACAGTATTCCGTCAAAGACACATTTCGGATTGCATAGAACGGCACAATAAACTCTTTAAAAAATTAAAGGTTAGGAAACAAACATTGTCCCATTTCAAACCAAAACGGTTGCAACACACAATCAGAATCAAACATATCATGTATCAACAGAGAGCTATGAGTCAAATGCTGAGAAAAAAGGTGACCATTTTTTGTTAAATTTATTTTTGTCATCCTTTTTTATAGCAATCAATTTCTCGATTGAATATATGTTTTTAAATAGTTTTAAAAGTATATCTCATTTCGGTTTGGTTCCTTTAATTCCACTTACATGAATATGCCTTATCCCCAATAAAACAATATGATTGATCAAAGTATTAGAAGAAGTTAGAACCAAACCAAATAATATATTTTGTTTATTTAATTTTGTGCAAAAGATAATTGTTAAGCCAAAGTTCGAGATCATTCCAAAATTGTTTAGTTTCATTACATTCCCAAAAAGACATGGCTGGCGTCCTCATTGAATACACTACAAAAGCTACAAACAGTGTTGTCCACGAGATTCATTGTTAGTAGTTCCTTCTTTGTGTAAATAAGTTTTACATCCTTCAGTTTGTATCTATAAACAATAAATATCGTTTTCCAATTAAAATCACAGTGAAAAATTGATTGCCATTTATCACGAAGTTTAAGATTATTTTCATTTGATATCAATTTATCATAAAAGAGTCTAGCGCCTTTTACAGGCGTCATCAGATCACTCAAGCAACTGCAACTAATTATTTTTCTAGTTTTCTTGATTGTTGTTTTCCATAATTCTGGTATATTGAAGATTACATATCTATAGAATTTAGTCTAATATTGTACCTTTTATCGGATATTTTAGTTTCAGTTCTTCAAATGACATCAGTCTGTTTTCATTGCATATATCTTTAATTGAGTAAATACAACTATTAGCCCATTGCTTTATGTAGCATGTTGCTTGTTTGAAGTTGTGGTTAAGCCACAATGGTTGGGACAAAATTTCTTCTATATTATCAACATTAATAATGTTCTTTTCACAAAAGTTGTTCCAAGCTTTCAATACATCTTTCCAGTACGGGTTTTTAACAAAAGATTGCTTGTCAACATTAGCACCCAAAGATAGTATATCTTTAATTGGGATATTACAAGGGTTACTATATGTAGTTTTTTAACAATATAATCTGAGCGAAGAGAGTTTTAGTGCGTCAATAAAGGCTCTAATGTTAATCATACGTAAATATTTTCTCGTCAAAGTGCTCCTTTTGATTTCGTCTTTTTTACTATTTCAGATAAAATTGAAAAAATAGTGTGTCAAGAGACAAGACAAAGTCCTCAGGAGGGTTAGATCTTGTCGAAAATATATGAACTAGTTTTGACAATGCTAAAGTTTTTATGAATGTAATTTTTCCTATTAGCGTTAGATTTCTTTTTCTACAATTTGCAAGCAATCTATTTATTTCTTCTAGCTTTCTTTTTGTAGTGATTACCCATGGTTCACTTAAGTTTGGATTAAGCATAATTCCTAATATTTCAAATTCCTTATTGTGCCATTCTATGTGTAAGTCTTGGCATAAACGATCATTGCTACCCGCTTTTGAGCCTATCCATATTGCTTTTGTCTTGTCTACATTAATTTGTAAGCCAGATATTTTGTAGAATTTATGCGGAAATGTATGCTTCAGGTTCGTGTTTATTTTCTTTGAAGAGAATTGTACATGTCCGGAACCTAATCATATCTTATGTTTTATGGCCTCGTAGTCATATATGGATAACATGTTACTATGTATTGTCTTTGCAGTGCGGTTCTGGGTGAGAATAGATCATCACTGAGCAATGCTTCTCAGGAACGGCTTGTTACAACTTGTGACCTTACTGATTGTGTGTCATTGTGTCCCGAACTGGTGGTACGATACTCATCCCATGTAATCACCTGTTGGCGTTATATATTGTTGTGACGTAAAATAGCATTCACTCGATCCTTTAAACTCCAGCCTGATTATAAGGACTATTTTAGCCTGGCGGCAGGGGCAACGTTGTAGCCTTGTGCTTAAAGCGCTGAAGTCACGGTTTCTACACTTACGTTGCACATTGCATCCCTCCTGTCAACACTATGAATGTATGAGTTGCCCAGTGAGTGACACACTTGTATGCCTCCTGTCAACACTATGAATGGATGAGATGCCCAGTGAGTGACACAACTGTGTGCCTCCTGTCAACACCATGAATGAATGAGTTGCCCAGTGAGTGACACAACTGTATACCTCCTGTCAACACTATGAATGGATGAGTTGCCCAGTGAGTGACACACTAGTATCTCTCCTGTCCACACTATGAATGAATGAGTTGCCCAGTGAGTGACACAACTATATACCTCCTGTCACCACTGTGAATGAATGAGTTGCCCAGTGAGTGACACACTAGTATCTCTCCTGTCCACACTATGAATGAATGATTTGTCCAGTGAGTGACACAACTTGTATGCCTTCTATCAACACTATGAATTAAAGATTTGCCCAGTCGGTGACACAACTGTATCCCTCCTGTCAACACTATGAATGAATGATTTGTCCAGTGAATGATATACAAACGCAACACATGCTTACCTCCTCCAACTGACACCCTCACTGAACTCTGTAAAACATCTTGTTTTAAAGCTGCCAACGGCCTGTGTTAGGAATAAAACATATTTATTTGTTAAAGTTACTCTGTCAGTCACAAAACCTAGAAGTTATAAATAAGGTAATAATTCAAAATGGCACATGTCATAGATGTCAACTTTCATATCACCGACTTCTCGGTTTTCCTCTCATATCAAGTGAACAGCATACCGTTCAAAGCGGCTTTAAACCTAACTAGCACACCAAGGTATTTAAAGAGAAATAATTAAAAATATAATATACATACCAATCCAAAATGCTTCTCTCGGTGTTATTAAGATGAAAGCTCATGTTGTCATTTGCACTAAACGAATGTGACCACGTATCACATGTTAACTGCTTGATTTTGGACTTCTTACAGTACCAACTGTAGCCATTGTTCTCATTCGTGAAATTACACCACTCGTTTGTCTTGAAGGAATTCCCTTGTCTAACTGAACACGCTGTTGCATCTGTTAGATTGTTTGCCCGGAATTCAGCTAACACTGTCCAGAGACTGCCATGCTGTTGGTATATCATATAGCTGAGAACTACCTCCTCCTTCCTCGAAGCAATGAATGCCTTAATCGTAGCGCTTCCTGACCATGCGGCTCTAAGCAGAGCAGTGTAACTTCCGTTATTGTGGTCCGACACCCGACTGGAAACGGAAGCTGCTGTCTCTGGGTTCTCCATCCAAACTCTCAAAACGTCACCTCCCGTTAACTTGCGGTTACCATACAAATCATACAGATCTACTTGCACTTGAATCTGCTCTCCTAAACTGTAGACTTTATGAGCGTGGTTGAGTGACACACGGGATTTTTTCGCATTTGCACATAATGAAATCACAGAGACATGTCCATAACTGATTACCTCCTCTGTGAGATATGTCGTTCCTCTTGTTGGAAAGTAGCCCCTAAAATATTATCAATTGCATACTATCAATACATCAATCATCTAACAGATCCAAATAATCGCCATACCAATATACATATAAGTCAAACTAGTGATTCTTGGATACAGCAGCTCTATACTTTGAGAGAGGTTTTTAATTTTTTCTATTTGTGTGTGTTTTCATCTGTTCTATTTGTGTGTGTTTTTATGTGTTCTATTTGTGTGTGTTTTCATGTGTTCTATTTGTGTGTGTTTTCATCTGTCCTATTCGTGTGTGTTTTCATGTGTTCTATCTGTGCGTGTTAGCTTTCATCAGTTCTATTTATGTGTGTTTTCTTCTGTTCTATTTGTGTGTTTTCATCTGTTCTATTTGTGTGTTTCATCTGTTCTATTTGTGTGTGTTTTCATCTGTTCTATCTGTGCGTGTAAGCTTTCATCTGTTCTATTTATGTGCGTTTTCATCTGTTCTATTTGTGTGTGTCTTCATCTGTTCTATTTGTGTGTGTGTGTGTGTGTGTTTCCATGTGTTCTATTTGTGTGTTTGCATGTGTTCTATTTGTGTGTTTTCATCTGTTCTATTTGTGTGTGTGTGTGTGTTTTCATCTGTTCTATTTGTGTGTTTGTGTGTGTTTTCATCTGTTCTAGTTGTGTGTTTGTGTGTGTTTTCATCTGTTGTACTTGTGTGTGTTTGCATCTCTTATTTGTGTGTGTGTTTTCATCTTTTCTATTTGTGTGTGTTTGCATCTCTTATTTGTGTTTGTGTTTTCATCTTTTCTATTTGTGTGTGTTTGCATCTCTTATTTGTGTTTGTGTTTTCATCTTTTCTATTTGTGTGTGTTTGCATCTCTTATTTGTGTTTGTGTTTCCATCTGTTCTATTTGTGTGTGTTTTCATCTGTTCTATCTGTGCGTGTAAGCTTTCATCTGTTCTATTTATGTGCGTTTTCATCTGTTCTATTTGTGTGTGTCTTCATCTGTTCTATTTGTGTGTGTTTTTATGTGTTCTATTTGTGTGTGTTTTCATGTGTTCTATTTGTGTGTGTTTTCATCTGTCCTATTCGTGTGTGTTTTCATGTGTTCTATCTGTGCGTGTTAGCTTTCATCAGTTCTATTTATGTGTGTTTTCATCTGTTCTATTTGTGTTTGTGTTTTCATCTGTTCTATTTGTGTGTGTTTTCATGTGTTCTATTTGTGTGTTTTCATCTGTTCTATTTGTGTTTGTGTTTTCATCTGTTCTATTTGTGTGTGTTTTCATGTGTTCTATCTGTGTGTGTGTTTTCATCAGTTCTACTTGTGTGTTTTCATCTGTTCTATTTGTGTGTGTTTTCATGTGTTCTATTTGTGTGTTTTCATGTGTTCTATTTGTGTTTGTGTTTTCATCTGTTCTATTTGTGTGTGTTTTCATGTGTTCTATTTGTGTGTTTTCATGTGTTCTATTTGTGTTTGTGTTTTCATCTGTTCTATTTGTGTGTGTTTTCATGTGTTCTATCTGTGTGTGTGTTTTCATCAGTTCTACTTGTGTGTTTTCATCTGTTCTATTTGTGTGTGTTTTCATCTGTTCTAGTTGTGTTTTCATCTGTTCTATCAGTGTGTGTTTTCATCTGTTCTATTTGTGTGTTTTCATCTGTTCTATTTGTGTTTGTGTTTTCATCTGTTCTATTTGTGTGTGTGTTTTCATCTGTTCTATTTGTGTGTGTTTTCATGTGTTCTATCTGTGTGTGTGTTTTCATCAGTTCTACTTGTGTGTGTTTTCATCTGTTCTATTTTTGTCTGTTTTCATTTGTCGACTAAGAATCAAGAACGTTGCAATATCGGTCATTTTAAACGAACATAATCTGTCTAATTGCCAGCCAACATTTGGGCATTAGCATGAGCTGAAATACAATTATTTGCCTCTTTTGGAAATGCATGACGCAATAGCTAACTGAGATGTCCTTCACGTGTTTACCATAAAATATTTTGAAATTTTTACTGAGGCCTTGAATGGTGTAACCTTGATCAAAATAATTTTGCGCAATAGTCGTTTGACGCTATCAAAGCCTGAAGCTGTTGGCATATTGCTCGACATGATGGGATAGTTGACTGTGGGGAGGTGAAGTCATTCCACTTGCCATACATTCTTGTAGGGTGTTTTTCGTCATTCTGAATCTTTATGCACAGATCTAAATATGACACATACGAGATGATGACACTGGTCTTCTTTCTTCCAATTCAGGTAGGTAAATCAGTGAGAAGGGAATTGTCTATTTGATGGTTACTGGACGATATCAGATCATCGATATATCTGACGCTTGAGTTAAACTGTTTGGCCAAATTACCTTGTTTTGACTTTGCCAATCCGAGCAGAAATTTCCGAATCATTTACATAAAGAAACGGATCAGCAAGAAGGGGAGCGTAATTGGTGTCCATGGGGATGCCTTCTTCTTGCCTGTTTTATAAGAAATATGATAGATATGATTGCATAAATTACATTGATGCCGTTCCCTCGATCATACTAGATACACAAAGATCGGGGTTGGAACTAAACCTATGTGAATTATTTTATGTCATTGTATAACTTGCTTCTAGGCATAAATGGGCATTCGTGCCATTAGAAATTTGGCATAGTTCTACATGTGTAAGTAGCACCACATGAGTGAGCTCTCGCGGTGTTGATCCGCCAGGTCTATGGTGTATACAGTTAAAATAATCGTAAAATAATATCACGGCACTGTAGCTCACCTGAACAATTAATAAAACATGTGTTCTGTAAATGCTGACGACTAAGTCTGCCAAACAAACATTTAATCGTTATGTTTTGAGCCAAACATGATGTCATCATAACACGAAACATGTTAAAGTTCAGTTTTATAGCCCTGCAATTTAACAGGAGAAGTTTACCTAGGCGTTTGGTTCCAAATTAAAAGAAAGAGGTATCTACTCTACAGTGGGACTACATCGCATTTCAAAACACTGTAGGATTATCTCCTAAGTGATTCATAAACACATGCTCATGATGAATCAAACAATCTCCTTTTTATGAATGTGGACATGGGTTTATCACTTTTTTTTACAATGTATATAAACAACAATACGGGGAATACGCCCAAGGTTTCTAACTGTTCCGTTCAGTTGGACGTCCGAATAAGTATACTATTCAACCTGTAAACATTAGATGTTTAGAAAAATAAGGATATAATGATTTTCAAATTGAATATATAAAGATGTATTTCATTATATATATACGACTCGTGGTCGTTGTTTATCGCACAATAAAACACTGCAGGGAGGATAAACCATGTGTGGCACAGCCCTGAGTGGTTTATTCTCCCTGCAGTGTTTTATTGTGCAATAAACAACGACCACGAGTCGTTTATTTCTTGTTTCTTACATGAGATATCAACATTATGTAAGGCTCTTTAGGGATGTTGATAAAATGTACAAGCTTTAAAAATATTAGGCAAATTTTAATAATGATGACTTCTTGAATAGAATCCGACCTCGGAAATGTCGGACAAATCCATTTTATGAACAGGTGGGTTCAGTTTGGTATTTCCCGCATATTTTTACAATCCTCACGTCGATTATCCGTATCTATGCTCCTAATATCGATTGTGATATCTCTCCCACTCTTGGATGCGATCGTTCTGCCTCTGCGTTTATCTCGTATCCCAGCTATATCTATGTGGAACTATATACTGGACAGTTCTCTCTAAACAATAACGTCGTCCAAAATATGACGTCATCAAGTTGCAAGCGCATATTCGAAATAACAGATATGAAGTCATGATAGAACTATGTCGTGAAATAAACCTATCTTCGTTCTTTGCGAAGTATCGCGTAGCTGTCTCATATATAAGGGTTTAAGGAGGAAGAAGTAGCTCGAAACGTCATGACAAAGAAGAAAAGAAGTTGTTATCCATAAATAGTGTCATGTATTCATATTCTTCCAACTTCTAAACGTCTATCAAAGATCTCATACGTTGTACTTCCTTATGTCGATAATGTTGGTGCAATATTTAGTCATGTTCGCGTTAACAGCTAAGAAATATCCCAGTTGGTCGTGACAGTGCGTGGAACAACATTGACACCACTGTGTTGGCTGAGTGGGACTTGCATGATAGTCAGAATTAGTGAATTAGCCGAAACCTAAATACAAGTGTAGGTGCTGAAGTAATTGCATAGCTACACTGAGATAAAAGCCTCTTGAATTCTACTAACTTAACTTGTAACAGCAACCAGGTTGGTAAAAAGCGAATCTTGCTATCCAGCCGGTCAGACTGCACGAAGATGAAGATTACTAAATATCACTTATCAGATAAGTATGATTAACTACTTAAGCCACACTGTAAAATTGTGTTGAGAAGGTAAACACATACAAGACATGTTTAGAAATGTGTGTAAATCCCGAAACGTGTTTAGTTAGAACACAGCAAATGTGCATGGCATTTGCTGTGTTCTGTCTGAGCAGGTTTCGGGTCCATATGAAATGAGCAATCGCCCCATACCCTAAACACCATCTAAACACAACATCCCAATAATCCAAAGATGTCTAGAATTTAAACACCTTTGAACATGTTTAGATTTTAAACACCTTTGAACATGTTTAGTAAAGTGCATATCATCAGGGTATAAGTCAAATATGGATATCACGTATAATATACATACATACAAGATATGCAAATCAGATTCACAGGCACTTGCATAGCACATATACATGTACCACCAGGACTTACAACTAACTTTGATACTAATTCAAAGGTATTTCTTTGCAGCGTATCAGTGTTTCAAAATCCTAGACCTTGTGGTTTCTGATAAGAAGATTAGAAACGGATTTTCACAATTTTTCTTTTTAAATAACTAAAGTAACTGAATGTTTTTGTACAATGCTGCTCGCTTGTTTTATATGTTTAGGTTAGTCCATTGAATCAAACGATAAAGTACGGACGGACAGAAAGACGAACAGACAGGGGAATTAAGTTCAATGGGACCGTCAGTCCTGGTAAATTAAAACCAACTGGCCGGGTAGATATTTTGTTTGGAATTACAATCAGATACATACCAATCATACATCATACATACATCACAATGTAGTGAAACATACCGTGAAAGGCTGAATGTATTCCAGTTCAAATGGAGATATACAGTAAATCCAGTCACAATGAAACAGACAATTGCACATTTGAGGATTTTCTTCATGGCTAATTATTGGCCTTCAAATGACAGCAAACTGGTATTGTCGCATCTCCCTTACGGCTGTTGACTCAACATGTGTTAAACAGGCTATCTAAGCTCAGGTATAAATGGTATTGGTGCGTTTGAGCGAATGTTCATAGAGTTCTAGCTGTACTAAACGCGTGTTCTCGTAACAGGTTCCCAACCTAGGCCTTTGCAAATTTCTACTTGTTCATGTTGGGTTTGTCCATTCTGCCCATACAATGCAGTTATGTGAGTATAATGTTTTTATGCAAATTGTGTGCGAGATGGGGAAGAACCTGTTTACACTCTTTGCGAACACCTGGTGTCATCACTGACGTTCAGTGATTCATTCATATAATTTTCACCGTTATTTGCCTTTTATACCCAATGGGGTCTGTTTCGGCAGATAATCGAGACTTGTTATTGTCTGGTGTTGGTGTTCGGACTGGCTTATCGGGCTGGCCCACTATGGCGCCGTGAACATGATTCCGTGATGATCCGGGTTGAAATAAATCTTCAGCTGACTTGGTTAATGCATGTCACCGTATCCCAATTGATCGATGCTCATGATATCAATCACCGAATATCCCACTCGGACACATTATACTCCAAGCCTACCAGTCTTTGCTTAATCCCCTAAATGTCGAGCGCCAAGCAGGGCAACAACAAGTACCATCAGTTAACGTCATTTTGGTATGCAGCGATATATCTGCCTATACTAATCAGAACGAATGCGCAGCGCCACAGCAATATGATTTAATTTATTTAATGAAATCTGTGCACGCTCTAAATGTTGGTTTCTACATTAGTTTCCTGGTCTCCGTTCCACAAAGCGACCTTAGCACTATGAGTATCGTAATCCCATGTTAATGTATGGGAGTTAAGGTCACCTTAGCGCTATGAGTATCGTAATCCCATGTTAATGTATGGGAGTTAAGGTCACCTTAGAGCTATATGAGTATCGTAAGTCTATCTTTAAGTATAGGAGTATCGTAAGTCTATGTTAAAGTATAGGAGTATCGTAATCCCATGTTAATGTATGGGAGTTAAGGTCACCTTAGAGCTATATGAGTATCGTAAGTCTATGTTTAAGTATAGGAGTATCGTAAGTCTATGTTTAAGTATAGGAGTATCGTAAGTCTATGTTAAAGTATATGAGTATCGTAAGTCTATGATTAAGTATAGGAGTATCGTAAGTCTATGTTAATGTACAGGAGTATCGTAAGTCTATGTTAAAGTATAGGAGTATCATAAGTCTATGTTAAAGTATAGGAGTATCGTACGTCTATGCTAATGTATAGGAGTATCGTAAGTCTATGTTAATGTATAGGAGTATCGTAATCCCATGTTAATGTATGGGAGTTAAGGTCACCTTAGAGCTATATGAGTATCGAACGTCTATGTTAACGTGTAGGAGCATCGTAAGTCTATGTTAATGTATAGGAGTATCGTAAGTCTATGATAAAGTATAGGAGTATCGTACGTCTATGTTAAAGTATAGGAGTATCGTAAGTCTATGTTAAAGTATAGGAGTATCGTACGTCTATGTTAAAGTATAGGAGTATTGTAATCCCATGTTGATGTATGGGAGTTAAGGTCACCTTAGAGCTATGAGTATCGTACGTCTATGTTAAAGTATAGGAGTATCGTAAGTCTATGTTAATGTATAGGAGTATCGTAAGTCTATGTTAAAGTATAGGAGTATCGTAATCCCATGTTAATGTATGGGAGTTAAGGTCACCTTAGCGCTATGAGTATCGTACGTCTATGTTAAAGTATAGGAGTATCGTACGTCTATGTTAAAGTATAGGAGTATCGTCAGTCTATGTTAAAGTATAGGAGTATCGTAATCCCGTGTTAATGTATGGGAGTTAAGGTCACCTAAGAGCTATATGAGTATCGTACGTCTATGTTATAGTATGAGAGTATCGTAATCCCATGTTAATGTATGGGAGTTAAGGTCACCTTAGCGCTATGAGTATCGTAAGTCTATGTTAACGTATAGGAGTATCGTAAGTCTATGTTAATGTATAGGAGTATCGTAAGTCTATGTTAAAGTATAGGAGTATCGTAATCCCATGTTAATGTATGGGAGTTAAGGTCACCTTAGAGCTATATGAGTATCGTACGTCTATGTTAACGTATAGGAGTATCGTAAGTCTATGTTAAAGTATAGGAGTATCGTACTCCCATGTTAATGTATGGGAGTTAAGGTCACCTTAGCGCTATGA